GGGGGGGGGGGGGGGTTGGCCAAAACGGAGACCTGAACACTTGACCTCGGTGTTCAGCTTTTTTTAAAATCAAGAGCCAAGGCTTTTTCTTTGACTGTGAGTCCCCAGATTGGAGTTCAACTTCAGATCTTTTTGTACCCTCGTAAACTATGATATCCAGTTTCATTTTCCTTAAAGAAGAGTGGGAACTTAGATATTTGCAAAGCAATCTGCTTGCAAAGCCTTACAGATTTTTATGACTTTCCTTCAAACTTTTGTAATTGTCTTATTCCCACCAAACCTGACAGTAATTATTTTTAAGCAGTTTTTTAACTCTAAAGCATTCAATATAGTTTTCATAGAATCAACTCTTTTAATTCTCATATTTTATTGGTTTACATAATGTTAAATTATATCAAGTATTTGTAAAGTCTTGCTTGTAGATATATTTCTGTGCACTTTTCAATATTTGGATTGTACTTCATTAAAACATTATTGAAATTGTGGTTAAGTATTAATGGTGCTATATGTAGATTTGTAGATTTTTTGTCGTGATTCTTGGGACACAGGGTATATGGAAAGGAGGGGTCAGGTAGGAAGTACTCCTGATAACTCACTTTCTCAGTCAAGTTGAACAGACCGTTTCAACCATGTTTTATTTGCCTCTTCTCTTATGGGTTCTAGGGTCTGTTAGGATGGTATATGGTGAAAAGTGGATTGGAAGAAAAACCAGACTCCCATGACATCCCCCGGGTCAGTCAGTACCGCCTCGCTGCCCATCTGGGGTCAGCCCTTGTTCTTTATTGCGCCAGCTTGTGGACCTCACTCTCACTGCTGCTCCCTCAGCACAAGGTAAAAGTCAGTGTCTGTACTGATACCACATTTGCACACGTGCTGGCAGGGTCAGGGAAATGGAAATTCGGGCTCTCATGGGAAGTTATAAATCAAAAATCATGGCTTCCCTTAAAGTAACATCTATCAATTTATCAGAAACTAGTTTGGAGAAACATTGAACTTTCAGGCTTTGGATAACTTTGGGACTGGAAAGTAAAATGTGCAATTATTCTGTTAAGCTGGAGCAATTCATTCAGAGGAAAATTAGCATAGGAGCTGAATTTTATTTTAAAATTGTGATAAAGTACACATAAACTTTACTGTCTTGACCACTTTTAAGTATACTCTTCAATAATGTTAAGTATATTCACTTTGTTCCCAATCTCCAGAACTTTTTCATACCCATTAAATAATAACTCCCCATTTTCTCCTTCCCCCAGCCACTGGCAACCGCCATTCTGCTTTCTGTCTCTATGAATATCACTGCTTTAGATACTTCATATCAGTGGAATCATACAGCATTTGTCTTTTTGTGACTGGCTTATTTTATTTAGCATAATGTCCTCCAGGTACATCCATGTTGTAACATGTGTCAGAATTTTCTTCCTTTTTAAGGCTGAGTAATATATCATTTGTTTATCCATCATCGAAGGACACTTGGGTTGCTTCCACTTTTTGGCTGTTGTGTATAGTGCTGCTATAAACATGCATGGGTATACAAGTATCTTTTTGAGACCCTGCTTTCAATTTTTTTGGATATATGAGGGGTACTTCAATATGTTCTTGGAAAAATAGAATTAAGATAATGTGAATCTTTCCATGAACTTTTTGAAGACTCCTTATATACCCGGAAGCGGAATGTCTGGATCACAGCAATTTCCGTCATCACACAAAGTTCTATTGGACAGTGCTGATATACTGTCCCACGATATCTTAGTAATGATACTTAACTTTTCACATACTAGATTGAAAACCATTTGAGGGTAGAGATTTGATGTAACTCCTTTGTATCTTTATAACTACCTGTTTATAAAGTTCTTAATAAATATTTGTCAATTCACTGATTAGTATCAGAACTTGACTATAGTAGAAATAAAAACAAATTTTGACTTTACCAAAAAACATTAAATGTGAGAATCTCCACTCTAGGTACTTTATGTAATTTTGATTTTGACTGCATTTGCAAAGCTCTAAATACCACACACAACATGAAAACCTAGTCTTGTATCTTAAGCCACATCATTTCAATGATGGTAAATTAATGTGAATAATTCAGTTATTGAACAGATACATATTTGAGTACCTACATACCAAGCATTAGGCTAGGATTACTATAGTAAACAAGACAGATGGAAATTCCTGCCTTCACAAAACTTATAGGATAGCAGTGAAGACAGAGAGTAAATGTGTAATTATAATAAAATATGATTCATGCTAGAACAGAATATCCGCTGGGAGTACTTAACCTAGTCTATGGGTCAGAGAAGATCTGACCTTAAATTGTCCCTTAGATTTGGCCTTAAAGATCTCTTCTGGAGTTCCAGTCAAGATGGCACAATAGACAGTTCCCAGCATTACTCTCTCCCACAAATCAACCAATTTACAACTATAAAAATGTAACATCAACCAACTGAGGCCACTGGAGCTCAGGGGAAGAGGAGGAGAGACCACAGTGAGAGAAAGAGAAAACTGCTGGAGTGTTTCGTGCCACAGCCGCGTTAAGCTTGGAGCCGGTGAGCGCATGGAGCAGGAGCCAGCAGAAACCGCAGCTGTGCCCTTCAGATGGAGTTACTTGGAGGCAGCAGGGAAGAAGAGGGCCTTGGCGGCCCCCAGGACAGCAAGACCACTAATAGGGTTCCCATGGGCCCACGCAGGAGCGAGGAGCCAGAACAGCTGAAAAAGGGGAGCCACTCAGAGGCCGGTGAGTCATCGCAAGGGACAGGCGCAGGGCCCATCCCATGGGAAGTGTTTGGAGCACAGGCAGTGGGGGAGACGTGCCCACCAGAACACTGGGACCCAGCAAGGACAGCTGATCTGCCCCCCAATCAGCGCAGAACCACTCAAAGGAGACTAATCGGGAATGCAGAATTGCATGGGCTGCAGTTTGATGAAAAGATTCAGGCCCAGATCAGTTTCTACACAACCCAGGAGCTGGAAGTACCTATAAGGTCAGCCATTAAACCCTGAGCTGCACAAAAAGCCTTCCCTAGGGAAACAGCAGCAAAGCAGCAATTTAACTCAACCACACTACTCAAGTACTGGTTCCCACAGGAAGTTCCCCCATTTTAGAAGTAAGCAAAGGACAAAAAATTAGTTCTGGCCCAGGCACACCACCACCACCTTGGGGCCTGCCTGGGAACCAGAGGCTTGGAGCTGGGGACTAAACCCCACTCCCACATCCAGGCACATGGTGCCAGCGCCTCAGGTCCCACCTGGGGACCCGAGATATGGAAGAAGGGACCAGATCCCCCTCCCACAACCAGGCACACTGTGCCAGCACCTCAGGGCTCGCCCAGTGACCCAAGGCATGGAGCCAGGGACCAGACCCTCCTCCCATAACCAGGCACACCATGCCAATGCCTTGGGGCCACCCGGGGACCTGAGGTATGGAGAAGGGGACCAGACCCCCCCTCCCACTGCACCAGCACCTGGGGGACCTCCTGGGGACCAGAGGCATAGAGAAGGGGACCAGACACACCCCACAACCAGTGCCAAGGAGCATGCCAAGAACATCACCTCCATGTGGGTGGCCCACCACAGCCACCATAATAACCATGGCTGCCATGAAAGTGGCTAGATGCCACAACCACGATGCAGATGGTCCACCAGCCACTGGAGTGCATTGACACAAGGAGAGTTACCAGCAGAGATAAAGGAAAGAAGAGGATGTCTCTCTCCACAAAGCCCATTTCAGAGTGACAGAAGAAGCATCTGTTCTATGATAATATCGAGGGAACTGATCACACCTCTCAGCATTGGACAGATCATCTAGGAAACAAATTAACAGAGTAACATTATTCTTTCAGAAGGAGAGAAGAAATGTAGGGTAATTAGAGGGGGGAGGAGGAGGGAGTGGGAGATGGGGAGAGATTGGACAAGGGGTGTAAAGAATAATTATGATTTGTAACAATATATATGCTAGTAATATTGATTTGATCAATATATCTCAATGTTGAACCCAAAAAATATGTATAATCAATTTTGATTCAATAAAATAAATTTGTTTTAAAAATCAATTTTACTATGGGCCGGCCTGGTGGCGCACTGGAGAGTGCGCCGCTTGGGAGCGCGGCGGCGCTCCCGCCAAGGGTTCAGATCCCATGTGGAGACCGGTTCCCGCTCACTGGCTGAGTGTGGTGCGGGCGCAACACCGAAGGTTGCGATCCCGTTACCGGTCAGTAAAAAAGACAAAAAGGAAAAAAAAATCAATTTTACTAAAAAAAAAGTTAAAAATAAAAAAGAACTTTTCTACTTCTTGTAGTTCCCTCAGTACAGTTTATCTGAGTGATTTTCTTTCTTATTTAGTTGCCTGAAACCCGTCAACTCCTGTGGTTGAGACGATTTGCTCATGGAACAGCAGGGCTAGTGTTCCTTACAGCTCTCTCAGGTAGGACTCTTCTCATTAAAATGGCCTGTTTTCATTCCACTCTAAGGAGGGCTCTTTTGCCTAATGCTTTGCCCCTTCCTTCTGCATCTTCATATTTCCCTTTCACCCCTGCTCTCATACCATCGTCACCCTGTTTTCTATTTCTTCCTCACATCCAAAAATTCTACTTTCTGGTCAGTTGAACAAAAATATTGAACATCTACCTAGATCCAGACTGCCTAGGTTCAAGTCCTGGCTTCACGACCTATGAACTGTATGATGTTGGCAAGCATGTAACCTCTCTGGGCCTCCGTGACTTCATCTGTAAAATAGAGATGATGTACGATGATAGTACGAGTAATATATGGAAAGTGCTCAGAACAATACCTGGCATGTAGGAAAGGCTACATAAGTGTTAGCTGTTATTATTATGTAAACATTGTTATTATTATTACATTATGCCAAGATGGATCAGACAAAAGGCTTGCTTTCAAAGATGGCCAAGGGTGGGTTGTTCATTGAGGCAGAGACTGGTACAGGTTTTTCTCAGTCTTTAATACACACCTCTACCTCTCTCACTCTAGAACTGCACTGTCCAGTAGAGCAATCAGTAGCCTCATGTGGTTATTTAAACTTAAATTAAGATTAAGTAAAATTTAAAATTTAGTTTTTCAGTCACGCTAGCCACATTTTGAGTACACAATAGGTACATGTGGCTATGGCAATTTTATTGGATGGCATAGATACAGAACACTTCTGTTTTCACAGGAATTTCTGTTGGACAGAGCTGCATTAGAATAAAAATAATATTGATTCAAAGCAGTGATCCACCCAACCCCTTTTTTTCAGCATAAGAGCACATGAACTTTGACTTTGTAAGTGGCATTCACAGAAATTAGAAATGTGATCCAAACTTCTCTGAATCTTCTTTGATCATAAATAATGGATCAATCATTTATTAGTCTATAAATGCTCTCTTTATGTGTTTATCCAGGATTTAATTTATAAGTTTTGGGTTTTTTCTCATTTCTGTGTTCATGCAACAAACATTTATTGAGCACTTGAGAAAGACAGGTAATGCACAATAAAAACTATGTCAGATATTCAGTACTGTGAAGAAAAATAAAGCAGGATAAGGGGAAAGAGAGAGGTGGGATAGGGGAGTGCCATTTTATACAGGCTTATCAGGGGAGATCTCTTTGGTAAGGTGACTTATGAGTGGAGCCATGAGGAAGCTAGGGAGTCTATGGTGCAGATGTCTGGGGGAAGGAAGAGCATTTCCGAAATAGATAAGCAGTACTCAGTGTGGGGTGAGGAGGGCATCACAGTTACTGAGGGAATTTTCCAAACTAGTATGCCTCTTTCTCAAGAACTTCTAGTCCATGTCTCTAGGGGAGGCATGCCAGAATCTTGGGGTGGGAGCAGGTGAGGATGCAGTTTTTGTTTTTTCAAGTTCCCATGGTGATTGTGTCATATATTCCCTGTTTAAGAACCCCTGTTGTAGATTGTTCTCTGACTCTTCCCTTTGTCTAAGTGTGGGATAATAGGCATTTTCTATGTCGGAACTAGTATTTGATCTCTTCTTCCTCTCATTTTAATAAATACCATTTACCTTGGAATACAGGTGCTTTTGTGGCAGGGCTGGATGCTGGGCTTGTATACAACTCTTTCCCCAAAATGGGAGAATCCTGGATCCCAGAAGACCTCTTTGCCTTCTCCCCCATCCTGAGGAATGTTTTTGAAAATCCCACCATGGTTCAGTTTGATCACCGGATTCTGGTAAGTGTGACTGGTGGTTTCCTGCCAGAGAACACAGAGAGCCTCTCACAGGCTTTGGAGTATCAGTGAAGCACTGATGGCAACAGTGAGAGGGTAAAGCAGGAACTATATTTCCTATTCTTTTTGGAAGAAATTCTAGGACCAGTTCTCTGTTGTTTCTGTCCTTATTACTCACACTCTCCTCCAGCCAAATTCTAGCTTTTAGGCTATAGTCAGCTTCTTAAAAGTTCAAATATGCCTTTTACCACCTGGCAAGTGATAACGTTCTTCAATCCTGCATACACCTGGAGAGTGATTTTAGCAGAAATGAGGTTGAGTAGAGAAGAGAGTGCAGCAACCATGGTTGCCAAGCACATAGCTATCAAAGCTGAACCAGTATCCCAAGGACCCAGGAGCTTCATCAATACTTTCCATTTTATTTAAGCTAATCTGTACTGAGGGCCTGCTATGGGCCATGTTAAGATTGGCTTGGCAGCCTGGGCATGATGAATTGGAGCAGGGAAAGAGCAGCAGCAAGGAGACCATGAGAAGCCATAGCACTGCTACAGTAATGCAGAGGAGAGTAATGGAGGACAAGGCTATGTGGTGGGAGTGGGACTTGAGAGGAATGGTGAAGCTAAAAGAAGTTTTAAAGAAATAGTTAATAAGATTGGCTGTTAGGAATAAAGGTGAAGAAAGATCAAAGGAAAGCCCAACCTCCTGTGACATGCTTAAAACATGACCAACAGAAAATGGACCATTGGAATGAGTGTTGAACGAGAGACAGGAAGTTGCCATCAGTTTGAGGCATGTTGTGTGAGATGATAGTAGTTCATCCAGAGAGAGGTCCAGAGGACTCAGTTATCCAAGGGGGGCTGGTGCTTGGACAAGTTACATTCTTTCTGACACCACAGAAGGGAGAAAAGAACCTTATTGTTAGTGCCAGATCCTTGTTCTGAAAGGATGGGAATGAAAATGAGACTTGAAGTCTTTTTTTAGCACCAGCTGACAGTACCACCACCTCCTCCATTTACAGCCCAGGAAAATGGTAACCTTCATGTGCTGGGATCAGCCCTGCTTTAAGAATACAGGATTAAAGTAGAGATAAAATTAGTGATAAAGATACAAAGAATGCATCCTTAAAAAGTGAGGGCCATGCCTGGGGGCACCCACATTGGAAAGTGGGTAAGATCTCTGAGAGAGAGTGTGTGTGTATAAAGTGATACAAGTACACACAGAAACTTACGTGGAGCCCTGGGTAACACCAGCGTGGAAGTGGCAAGTAGAAGAGGATCACAGAAGAGACTAAAGAGTAGTAATCAGGATAGAACTATGGCTCGATTCTCTGCAACTGGTACAGGAAAGTACTTCATGGCTGCTCAGTGGTTCTGGAGTAAGGTGAATGGAAACCTGGCACTTGTGATGAGTCTTTTCTTCCCTGCAGGGAATCACTTCAGTCACTGCCATTACAGCACTCTACTTCCTGTCTCGGAGAATTCCTCTTCCTCGAAGGACCAAGATGGCAGCGGTGACTCTGCTGGCTTTGGCATATACACAGGTATTAAACCACTTCTTTTTTGGTCTGACAGTATCCACAAAACAAAGTTAAAAAAGAAAGGTGACAGGCTAGTAAAGGTATTTTCAATATTTATTTTATTTTATTTTATTATTTTTTTAAAAGATGACCAGTAAGGGGATCTTAACCCTTGACTTGGTGTTGTCACCACTACACTCTCCCAAGTGAGCTATGAGCCAGCTCAATATTTATAATAGATTAAAAGATTAATAACCAGAAAATAAATAAAGGATATCAGTGCAAGTTTTCACAAGGGGAATGATGAATGGCCAATAAACATGAAAATCTATTTAGCCTCGCTCATGATCAGAGAGGAGCAAATTAAAACAAGCACCATTTTGTGCCAGTCAAATTGGAGAAAATGAAAGAAAGAAAAGAATAGATAATCACATATTGGCATGGGTATAGGAAAATGGATCCTTTCAAAGATTCTTGGTGAGAGCATGAGTTGGTATGGCTTTTTTCAGGGGGCAATTTGACAATATCTTTTAAAATGTTAAATGTATAATCATTTGGCCCAGCAAATTGACTAGTGTCTGCCTTGGAAATATTCTAACACATAAAGAACTTTGTATAAAGAGATTCATTGTAGAATTGTTGTGATAGTGAAAAACTGGAAACAACCTAAATAGTTAAATAAACAACTATGGTACATCCATATTGTGGAATACTGTACAGCAGTTTAAAATAATAAGATCTCTAGACATATATTAAGTGCAAAAAAACAAGTGATAGAACAGTGTATTTTTTAAAAGCACAAAACTATGTCTCTATAAATTTATACAAAGTGCAAGTATGTAGAAACTGGTAACAGTGACTACCTTTGGAGAACTGGGATGGGGTGAAGGATAATTAAGGGGAATTTTAGGTTTATCTACTACATTTTATTTGAATGCTTATGAAATTTTAAATATATATATATATATATATTTAATGTTCTAATGGGAGAATGATATGGGTGATTCATATGCCCAGACATTTTCAGTCTGAATTTGTGGTTACTGCTTTTCTTATTGCTTTCTTTCTGTATTAACAGGTGGGCTTGGGCATTAGCACTCTTCTGATGTATGTTCCAACTCCTCTGGCTGCCAGTCACCAGTCAGGCTCCTTGGCTCTGCTCAGTGGTGCCCTTTGGCTCATGAATGAACTCCGAAGAGTCCCAAAATAATTCTCAGAGGGTCAGCTTCCTAGGACTGAAACTGCACTTTTGAGAGCTCATCAGAGAGCACAAGAAGTTATGCTTTTCGATGAAGATAACCTTGGCATACTAAGTGGTTTCCAAATTGGTCAAGTTATTTAAAATTCTTTGCCTGTTTTGAAGTCACTGGATCAAGAATACCATTAAGTATAATTAGCTAATGGTTCCTTTCTAAATCTGTTACTTTTCACATTGAAAATCAGGTTTAATGTAGAGAAAGAAATGTCTGCCATTTGCTGCTTATTCTTTGTCTCAGGTTTCTTAATGTTTGCAAACTCTTGGTTCTGTATGCCTGATTTCTGTCTCGTTTTTCTCCTGAGTCCTGAATTCTGCCTGTGTAGAATTTCTTTATGATCTTCACTACCATCAGGTGAAGTTTCAAAGGGAAGGACTGGCATACCCTGAAGTAGCTAGCTAGCCCTAAGCAAAAAATAGCTAATGTCTTCTAGTGTCCTGATTTTCAAAAATGGGGAAAGCCTACATTTTTACAAGTTTAATGTGTATATGCAGCAAAATGGTTTATAAGTACTTGGAAAAGGAGGTAATCAATAGTAACCCACTTGGATTCATCAAGCACTAACCTAGTTCCTCTTCTGATAGTGCTATTACATCGCTAGGTCAGAGGTATGGAACAGACAGTATAAATTGGTTCCTGAAAGAGTTTCCTAAAAGGCTTGTGGGCAAGAAAAATATGGCCTTGATGGTGTGCTACATGGACATCTATTCAGATATTTAAACAAATTGTTGATTACTGAATTGGTATGATTTTGCTCTTGGTATTTCACAGGGCTCTGTCTTACTCAACTTTATTTTTTAAATCATTGATTTGGATGAAGGCATCAGAAATGTCAGATGTGAGGATGGAGCAAACAGCATTGCTAATAGGTGGCAGTGGCAACTCAAAACAGTCCCAGAGTGACCTTATCAAGGTGAAATTAAACATTATATTGGGCCGGCCCGGTGGCGCACTGGATAGTGCGCCGCTTGGGAAGCGCGGCGGCGCTCCCGCCCGAGGGTTCGGATCCCACATACAGACCGGTTCCCGCTCACTGGCTGAGCGAGGCGCGGGAGCAGTGAAATTAAACATTATATTGGGCCGGCCCGGTGGCGCACTGGATAGTGCGGTGAAATTAAACATTATATTGGGCCGGCCCGGTGGCGCACTGGATAGTGCGCCGCTTGGGAAGCGCGGCGGCGCTCCCGCCCGAGGGTTCGGATCCCACATACAGACCGGTTCCCGCTCACTGGCTGAGCGAGGCGCGGGAGCAACGCCGAGGGTTGCAATCCCGTTGCCGGTCCCCGGTCCGGTACGGGGGCAACACTGAGGGTTGCGATCCGTTGCCGGACACGGAAAAAGACAAAAATAAAAAAATTTAAATAAATAAATAAATAAATAAATAAAATAAATGTAAGGTACTCATTTAAATTAAATAAGTTGTATAAATTTGGAGTGAAGAAACCTGGCTTCATATCATTTCATATAAAAGTCTTGGGGATTTCGGCTGGCCTCAGGCTCAACATGAACCAACTATTCATGTTGTTATCACATAACACAGAAAAATTAGTGGTGCTTCAGGTTTTATCAATAGAAGTGTCACAGCCATAGTCAGAATAACCCCCCTAAGGTATTGCATTTCACTTGGATACAAAATTTAAGCAGGACATTGACCACTAAGTGTGTATCCAGAGGAAGACACCAAGGTGGTGAGAAGTCCAGAACCTCTATCACGTAGGAAATAGTCGAAGGGACTAGGGATATTTAAATGGGGACAAGAACATTTGGGGAGAGAGCAAGATTCCTGTCCTTGAGAAGTTGAAGCCCTAACTTAACAGAAGAGGAAATGAGTTTCCTTTGTGCTGCAGAGCTGGGAGCAATGGATGAAAGTTGCTGTAAGTTAGTTTTTAGTTCTGTAGAAGAGTAGGGTGGACCAAATCAAATGCCCACTGGGGTCAGGCTGGTGGAGACAGTGACAGACTGGAGAGCAGGTGCCCCAACTAAGGGGTAAACCACTACAGAGCTCTGGCCTGTTACTGCTCTGCAGGTCCAGGGTTGTCAGATCTGGTTTTTTAAAGAAGCCAAATATCTGGATTTTTATGTAAAAGCTCTCAAGTGTTGGCAACTAATTTCAAGTTTCTAAAAACTACATGCAGTCTTAACATAAATGACCTAATATTTGCCCATTTGCAATCTCTGAACTAGATGATTTTAGTTCCTTTTTTTTTTGGTGGCTGGCCAGTACAGGGATCCGAACCCTTCACCCTTGGTGTTATCAGAACCACACTCTAACCAAGTGAGCTAACTGGCCAGCCTTGGGATCTTAACTAAGGGATTTTAGTTCGGTTTGTTTCAACTCCAATATTCTGAGTTTCAGTGTAACCTACAATGTACAGTTCTCAGTTGGTTCTTAGTGTAATAAAAGATGGTTTGTCTTTTTCAAACAGCCCCGAACCTGGTGGGCTTATACGGTTGCCTAGAAGTGACTCCCAACCTCTCTCACCTTAGAATCTTTGAAAAATCCCAAAGCCCAAGCCTTATTCAAGACCAATTAAATCACAATCTCTAGGATCAGTAATAGGCATATTTTTAAGTGTCCCAGGTGATTCCAATGTGCAGACAAGCTTAGGGACCACTTTCCCAGGTCCTAATAGATTAGTTACCTTAGAAAGTTCTGACTAGCTTATTCCTACTCCCTCTGAATTTCTACCCCACCCTATCTCATTTAATCTGCTATGTTGATACTGTTAGTATGTTAATAGGATATTGTCTCTTCTAGATAGTAGAATTTGTTGAAGAAAGGGAACTGCAGTTATTTGGGCAGGTTCCTGCACCATTATCTCCTACTCCCTGAACCCAGGTTGTCCTTAGATAATAACTGAGTCAGCAGAGGGCAGTATCATCCAACCCAAAGAACCATATGCTAATGCTTCTATAGTTCCCTCCGAGAAAGTAGCAACTCATGAATAAGTTCAAATTTCAGATGTTTTACTTTATTTTTCTTGTATTACAGATGATGAGTCAGTTTGGAAAAACAGATCTGGTTACACTTAGCTGTTTAACTATATTATGCTATCAATGAGCTCCTGGTGGAGATTGTCTTAATTATTTTTGTATTTGCATTATTCCCAGCACCACTAGAAACATACCAAATATTGAATGAATGAATGCATGAATTAATGGAAACAGATGATTACATATTGATGTCCCAAATACTTTTTCAAAAAAAGTCACTACATATCTATAGAATTAAATGAATTTCCCTTAACATTTTCAAAGATCTCAACAGTTCTGTCAATTGTTTTTAAAATATGAAGAAAATTAAAACACGGCTTTCTTAATCAGTCAACCCAGAATTTTTTGTCTTTAACTTACACTGACAAATGCTCTCCATCTGTGGCAGGGCTAACGATTAGCATCTGCTTAAACTGATGTTGGTTGCAAAGACCAACACTAACGATCATGATTTTAGGATAACAAGTTTATCTGAAGCTATCCTTCTGATCCCAGGACGAGTGGTGGGTTATATATCAACAAATGTAACCCACAAACCCATGTCCCTGCATGATGGAGAATGCATCACCTCTCTAACATGCCTTGTGCATTTTCCTCAACACTGACTTAATGTTTGTTAGTGAGAATTTTAACAACTACTCAGCAAAATCATTCTTATTTAATGTGAAGCATTAGAGAAACATACAGTCTTAACAGCCCCTAAAAGCAAGGCAATATAGGCAGACTTTGGTTTTTTAGTGTGGAATATATGGTTGTGGATCATAATAAAAAGATGCCTTTCAACACACACTACATTGGCTCCTGCTCAAGGTAGAAATAATGGAGGAGACATGGCATATACTTCAGGGTTTCAACTGACAGGGAATTGTGGAATGAGAATTTCAAATACAGTATAACAACAGAAATACTAGAAATTAAAGTGTCGGAGGGATCCCTGCTTGCAGAGAAAGACTTTTCTGAAGCTAATAAGGGGCAGAGCCTTCACCACCAGCAGGCCAAACTCTGGTTGGTACTCTGTAGAAGGGGCTTCCTTAGAGTGGAGGAGTGGTGGGTCACCAAAGGATATATGAGTGGCTGCCCTACTTAAAAAGGAGAGGCTCAGGAGTAGACACATCTTCAAGTGTGCCTGAAGTCATGCATGCCTGACTATAAACATTCTGTGATTCAGAAAATTTTTCTCAACTTTGGTTTTCATAAAAATAGCAAATGATTACATTTTAAAAGTGAAAGCCATTACGATATTAATAATGATCCAGTCTTACAAATGAAAGGATCTCCTTATTGCTCAGATTTCCAAAGAAACAAAATGGTCAATTGGTGTATTCTTTCTCTGTCCGTCTAATAACAGTACTGACAAACTAAGAAATAATGAAATATTATGGCAAAAGGGAAACGTGTAATAGTTAATAATGGGAAGTATTAGGATATAAAAAAGAGAGATTGGACAAAACAGACTTAGAATGAAGGTTTACCAAGCCACCTGCCAAACAGACACCAAAAGGTCTACAGAACACCCAAACAGGGTAGTATAACTTTCCAACTTAGATCCAGTTTATGAGAGAGAAAACCAAGAACAGAGCCATAAGGAATACAGAACACTACCCAAAGGTATCTGACTCCAGGTATATTCACTCTGTTTGCAAAAATGTGTGCTATGCAATATTGTTCATGGAAAGGGCCAAAATTTGGTTTTGAGTCCTTATTTTTTAACAGTAATTTTTGTAACACCAACAAAATCGTCACAAGTTTGGCAGAATTTCCCAGTGGCAGGACTCTGAAGCTAGCACAACCTAAAAGACTTATTTGGAAGAATCTGAAACATCGACTGCTACTTCTACCTTATTTCTTAATCCCAATTGAAATGATACCCCACATACTACGGTGAAAAGGAAAGTTAGATACTAGTTCTGAATTAATTTGAGAAATTTAAAGACAGCAAAAAAACCCAGCACTCTGTTTCTGTTAGGGAGTCTGGAAACTGCCCCAGAATTACAACCAGGTTTTTTAAATGAGGTAGATCTAATAGGCATTTATACCTTCATTTAGATTTTAACCATCATATGAATTGCTTAGATACTGTGGTTAGGAAAACTGTACAAAATTAAATTGTTTAAAAATAGTAAAAGAAAGAAACTAGAATAGATGCAGTGAAAACTTGACACTCTTAACAAAGTATTTCTTTTGAAGTTTATTCCTAAATGTGAGCAAAGCAATCACAAATGAATGTCAGATGCAGTTATAAAGATTGTGCATGATTAGTTGCAGCCAGCTGTATTATAAAGAATAGATTCTTTTGAAGTACACATAAGAGAAAAATTCTGTCGGTTGTGTTACAGAGAATAGAGAAACCCAGGATCAGGAGGCCACTCACTGTCACTGCACGTATTACATACCACTGTTCTGGCCCTCAATTTCAACATCCATAAAATCAAGGGAGTTGACCAGCAGACCTCTAAAATCCTGGCTTTAAAACTCTCATCTGAAATTTATGATTGCTGTTGGAAACTCCACTCCATTGACTTTAATGTCAGGGGTTAGGGATAAAATAGGAGGCTGTTGGTGGCAGCCTGGTCTTCTAAACCAGAGGCCAAAATCCTCTTCTCAAAACCACACAAGTTTTCTACTTTGTCTCCCACTTTTACTTCCTTATCTTGTCTTGCTACCTTGTTTTGTAGATGAGAACTGAATGAGAGAAGGCAAGTAACTTGCCTAGGGTACCAGAGCTAGTAAATGACAAAGCCAGGACTAGGATCCAAGTCTATTTGTTAAGTGCAGTGTTCTTTCCCTTAAATCACACCACCCCCTTGTCTTTCAACCCTGACAAAAAGCAAAACACAAAACTATGAGACTGGGGGTAGGGAGAGAAGCATCTGTTTAGATAGTAAGAGCGAGAAGTATAAGTTATTTTATTTCAAAAATGTAAATACGGGGCCGGCCCGTGGCTCACTCGGGAGAGTGTGGTGCTGATAACACCAAGGCCCCGGGTTCGGATCCCATATAGGGATGGCCGGTTCGCTCACTGGGTGAGCGTGGTGCTGACAACACCAAGTCAAGGGTTAAGATCCCCTTACCGGTCATCTTTAAAAAAAAAAAAAATGTAAATACGGATGTGATAGGACGTACCTAAAAAGACTAGCTTAGTGAGTATATGGCAGACTTTCAGTTAACCACATTTCAATAATCACTGACCAGGGCCTTCAAGTTAAAGGAAGCTCTTAGGCCAAGGAGGGGTGTGGGCAGAATACTTTAGATGAAATTTGGAGAATAAATACAAGGTTGGTGGAAATTGCTTAAAATTTCCCAGACTGAGGAAATTCAATTCATGGAATGAAAGAGAGAAAGATGGTATAATTTGGCTTAGCATTAACAACCACCTAAGTGAATGTAATCCCACATAAATGGGTATTATACATATTTTCATTATGTTCTAGTGCAATAATCCAGGGAAGTGACAGGTTGTACCATCATAAGACTAACAAAGCATCGCTCCTATAAGCCACTGACTCCAATTTTGACATTTGTGACCTGTCTCAGTAATAAAAGTACTAAAACAGTTCAAGTTCATTGTTGCTGTTATTAAAAGTGACTGGTAAGATTAAAAGGACACAGTGGCATGTGAATTTTATGACACCATAATTATCTTCACAGAGGAACCACTAAAAATGCAGAAATGGAAACAGAAAAGAAATCTTTAAAAACTCAAGGCTAAAAGAGGGTTAAGGATATGGCAAGATTGATTTCTGCTTCTATAAGCAAGACTATTTCATTATGAGGAAGCAATATATATAAGTAATTGGCCCTCAGGAAGGAATAACTGACTTCTGTTTCTAGCAAATGAGATTTCATTTAAAATCTATTAATTGAGAGCAATGGAAAAAGCATAGAAACCATTACCAATAGCAAATATTCAATTCTTCTGAGGGGAATGATAACATATTTTTTCTTATTTTTACACTATGGAACTTGAGGAAGACCTACTCATGGTAATAAAGACAAGCCTAGACCCCATAATATTAAAATAAACAGGACATACCACACTAAACAAAAACTCAAGGACTAATGAAAACAAATTAAGAATACATTTATAATGAAAAAATGATAAATGTAGGTATCCTGAGATTTTCAACTATAAAAAGAACATAGTAATATAAATCTCAAAGGTGTCATGATTAAATAATACACAAAATTCTTAACAGAGCATCTGATACATAATAAATGATTAATAAACGGTAGCTATTATTACAAACCAGGATGAAGAAAAACCTTACTAAGAGCTTTCAAATTGAACTAATCACTACCTCTCTGCTTCAACTTCATTTTGAATACACGAAATGATCACTGTTAACCAATGAAGTAGCTTTTGTTTTGACTATATCATTGACTAGATTTTACAAGAAAACCAAAAATAGTATTTGGAAACCAAGAGGAGGGGAAAAGAAAAAGTTACCTGAGTAGGCAATGGCCAACAAAAACATACTTTGACATTGTTGTTAGGCAGCATGCATAAGGCGAGGGCTCACTCACAGTACACAAAGATAATAAGTAAAAGATAACCAAGGCAATTTAGAAGGCTTAAAAATTAAAGGAAATTGCTGTGACATAAACCATGATGAAAAGTAAAAACTATATCCAAAGGAAACTGTACAAGTCTTTGCTAGATCCATGTTTATCTAACTCGAAAATCATTCAAGACTCTTCACCTACTGACCAAGCATCAGTATACTTACAGTAGTTTCATCTCAGTTTATTTCTAAGAGGATCTTAATTTTTTTTTTCTCTTTTTTAATAAAGTATTTAATTCTTTTCTGCTCCCAGTAAGGAATTTACTTTTAAGGAATTCTACTTTTTGTTCTTTAAAGGCAGGGAACTTCTTCCCTATTCAGCTAATCCTAGAAATCAAAAGTGACAAGAAGAAAAGAAAGCTACTTCAACCCTCAGAGCACATTTGTGGACAGGACATTCAAGGCTACATACTTATATAGGAATAGGTAAAGTATAAAGATGACTCCAGGGCCGGCCCGGTGGCGCACTGGATAAGTGCGCCGCTTGGGAAGCGCGGCGGCGCTCCTGCCCGAGGGTTCGGATCCCACATACAGACCGGTTCCCGCTCACTGGCTGAGCGAGGCGCGGGGGCAACACCGAGGGTTGTGATCCCGTTGCCGGTCCCCGGTCCGGTACGGGGGCAACACTGAGGGTTG